AACGGGAACAATTCTGTAACCAGTTCTGTAATTAGCACTCTGAACCTACTTTTGAGAGCAGATCTGATTATATCAGTTCTTAAAACCTTTCTGAGTCTCCACTGCCTTCTAGAATAAAGCCTCAGACCCCTTTGATCCCTCGCCTGCTCCCTCCCATCTGGGCCTCAACCTGACTCTTCAGTCTTAACATTTACATAAGCTGCCCTGCCCTCGCCACCAAGCAGTAGGCAAGTCAGTCGGCCTCATTCTGCTGTCCCATAGTCTGTTATGTGGGTCTCTCCCACTCCGCTGTGAGCTCCTTGGGTCAGAACAACACCTGTGTCTTCCACATGCCCAGCCACGCAGATATTGCCCCAGTGCCGGCTCACCTGGGCCACCTCCAGCCTTGCAGACCACACCCTTCTCTGCAGAATGGCGAGGGTGCTTTTCGTCAAGTGCCAGTCTCATGACTCCTCTGCTCTTCCCTTCACTTGCTCTTCCCAGTATTCACCCCAGAATTCAAGCCTCCTGCATGGCGTGGGAGGTTCACCAGGGTCCTCCGTGCCATGCCTCACCTACCTCCCACAGCCAAGCCAGAGCCCCTTCATGTGCCAGGCAGACTGTGCTCTCCTCAGCTGCTCTGCCTCCCCACTGCCCAGCACCTAAAGGGCCTCTTCCTCAGTTACTTCCTCTAAAAAACCTTTTCATTCTGTCCCAGGACCCACACACCTAGGCCTGTCCCCAGCCCCCTGCACACCCTCCACTTTGTCTGGCTATCTGACTCCCTTACTGCACTGCAAGCTCCTTGAGATGGGGACCATTTATTATTGTACCCCCAGTGCCTCACCCAGAGAAGACATGCAATAACCATTTTCTGTCTGCACCTTAGACCTAGAATGTTATAGCTGCAAGGCGCCATGCAGTTCCCGTGTAAGTCTGTGCAACTACATACACACACTGGGCCTTTATAGGATTTCAGCTGAAAGGCATTGAAACTGCCCTTTCCCTTTCTTGACTCAAAGGTTTCTCAGCATTTCTGAAACAGAATCAGTTGGCTAGATTGCAGAACCCAAAGCTACAGAGGAAAATGTGTCACCACTGCATCATCATTCACTCTTCAGGCAGCTGCATGATAGTAGGAGGTTCCAGTATTTCCTTATGCAGAGAGGACACTACTGGCAGAAATTCCTGGAAGACCTACTGACCAGACTGCAAGTGCCCCGGATCAGCTCTGGCTGGTTTCTGCAGGCCGGGTCAGCCCTTGGGATCTGAGATGCTATCTTCCTCACCTGGGGTGAGAGGGTCTGGGAGGCTGTGTCCTCACACCTGCCCTGGACAGTCTCCCCAGTGCCATAGCCCTGTTGCAACCTCCTCCGTGTGCCTCCCTTGCTGCCCAGCTCTGCAGGAGACTCCTGGGAGCTGGGTCCCCTTTCAGGTCACGCCTGCAGCTTCCGCAGTGCCCACATGCATCTCTACGGCCAGAGCCCTCCCTAGATCCTAGGCTACTGCTTCCTCAGGGCATCCCTGTGGTCAGCTGTCAATGAGCAACAGGGAAGACAAGGCGGAGGTGCTGGTCATCGGCGGGAAGGGAGGAGCTTGCTTTTCTCTCTGATGCTCTGGGCGTGTTCACTGGGGAGGCCACAAGCATGAGGCTAAAAGGCCAGGACAGCTAGGCCAGGAGGCTTTCACCTTCAGGAATTTTTAATTCCTGCCCTCAGTGCTGATTGTGAGGTGGGCTGGTGGGTTCTGGGATGCCCTGTGCAGCCAGCAAGGCCACAGGTTGGTTTCTCCAAGACATACAAAGTCATGACCCTATAGGGTTCGGCACTCTAAGATGCACTCCTATATTTGAAATAGGCCACCACAGGTGGCCAGTAAGCTAAGCATGGCTACATCCTTGGATACAACCCATGGAGGATATCTCAATACAGTGGTGACTCTTGGTTTTTTTAAGGCATTTCACTGTGTACAGGGCACTAGCATGCATGGTGTCTCGTTTGATCACACAGACATCTTTTGTGCAAGGCAATGCAGGTGGCATCACCTTCCATTCACAATGAGCCTCTGAGGCTTCCACAGCTTAGGTGACTTGCCCACACAGCCTTCCCTCCTTGGCAAGGGGCGGAGGACCAGGGCTCAGTCATCTCTGGGGCATGAAGTGAGTCTCTCATTAGTGAATCCTGGTTGTTTGTGTTGTGTGGTCAGATTGGCAGCATTTTTAAACATCTGTAGCTGAGACTCAACAATTCCAGGGCCTTAACAGTCAAAGTGCAGCAGCACCACTGTACCTGGAAATCGTTAGGAAAGCAGAATCTCAGGTCCACTCAGACCTACTGAATCAGTGTCAGCTCTTCCACAAAACCTAGGGCGATTTACAGGGTTTGAGGAGCTCTGCACTGGACAATATGTACTTCCATCTCTCTGCTTTGGCTTATTTTTCTAGCTTCACATCAGGGAAGTGGCCTAGGTGTGGAGAAAAGAAACTTCCAATTGACTGCTTCCTGATAACCACAAGGAAAGCTTATCTGTCCAGCTTCCCTCTCTGTGGAAGAGGTGTCTCCCTTTCTCCTTTTCTCTCAGCTCCCTGTTGAAACACTTTGAGCCAAGCACACATCTCCTCAGCTGACTCTAGATCTTCTCCTCTCTGGCATTAACTCTGAAAATGCCCCAAATTGGAAGATGTGGTTTCAGTTTTCCTTGATTTCTGGAAATCCTAACATCTGTTTAGAGAACTCCCAGTCTGAGTTGTGACAGAGTCGTGATTTCCTAAGTAAAGTTTGATGTTAAAATTTTTCTCTGAGAAACAATCTCTCTTCACCCCTCCAACAGTGTCTTCACTCACACACCCAATAACTGGTTGGTAAATTTGCAGCTCTGCTTAGCCACAGGGTGAACGACTTTGACAGAGGTGAAGCTAGGTGTTATTATGGAAACAAGGCATGATTTTGACTGGCTTCACTAATCAAGCTATTATCATCCACCTGCCACTGCCCCCTAGCTGACACAGCAGTCATCACAGTCCTTTCATGACTCTTCCCAGATGCTTTCTACAGGAAGACAATAAGCTGAAATCAAGGTGTTGATGTCTTTTTGTGTCTAACTAACCTTTCACTGTAACCTTGCATTTTTCCTACCTTGACCTTTTAGCCACCACAGGGCTTGGTTCTGTGGTATTTTCAGCACAATGCGTTAAGTGGCCTAAGTGGCCCTAAGGGGCCCTAAGTGGTCCACAGTACCAGTCTTGTCTCAAGGTAAGCGGTTTAGGACACATACAGTGTAAGGACACCTAAGTCATGTTTAGGACACATGTGTAAGCCAGAAGCCAGTGCTGCTCCTCACAAGGGAGATGATGCTTTTTCTGCTTGAATGGTTGAAGGAAGCAGAGAAGAACTCTACATCTTCTCTCTCAGTAATTCTCTATCAAGAAAGGGCACATAAGCTCATTTTGAGCTCTTTGTTAGAGAAGCAGTTTAAAGAAAGGCACACTCCCTAATTACATATTAAATATCCTTAGGGCTATTTAACTGTTAAATACATCATTAACTGAAGTGTTGCTTTACTAGGTGACTAAAAGCCAGCCAATATTTTCTTCTTGCCTTCAGGACAATCTTGGGCCCTATCAGAGTTTCTAAGCCTGTTTCAGTCTGCTTCTGGATGCTCATCAGAACAAGTGCATCAAGGGCCTTTTTAGCAATTTCTGGCTGGTCCCTGAGCCACTGGATTAATTACACCCTGAGAATGCTCCAGGCCTGGGTTCTGGTTCTGGGCTCAAGGCTCCATGTTCCTGCAGGCCTTGCTTCCAGAATTCATCCTAATCCTTCTCACTAAGGGCACCCGGGAGGCTGGCCTTGTGACTCAATCCTTTCTCCATCAGAGCCCTCTTCTCTAGAATTCGTGCTCTGATTTACAACTTGGTTTTTTAAAGAAGCCAGCCCAAATTCCCTCTGAACATTAAAAACGTCTGGCACCTCACACCTGCCAATTATAGCTTTATAGTGACATAGTGGCACATGCCCAGAGAGAGATTCTGATCTGCATCCAGACCTCCATTCCCAGGCCTCTCCCTTCCTTGGACCCAGTGATGTTTTTAGTTATCTTTTGACTTTTAATGGCAACCTCAGAAAAGAAATGAGATCTGAAGCAGATGGTAAATGGGACATGGCAATTTTATGGGGTGTATGTTTGGTGAGGCGGGATGAAGTGGGTTAAAGGACTGAAGAACCCCCAGCTTTTGCATTTTTTTCCACTTCTGGGACTGACAAAAGGTAAGTTCCAGGTCCCACTTGTTTACCTTGGTCAGCATTCTTTCCTGGAGCCCTGACCCAGCCTGTGGAGAGCCTCTACTCCAGGCAGCCAAGAGGTTCATGGATTGCCAAGGATGAGGACCAGGGGTGACACCAACAATTTGACCTGAGGTGGGTGGGGAAGCCCTGCTGTATACTGAGGTGGAGGGATGCCATCATGGTTTCTGGCCTCTTTTTGAAAGGGAAGTCATACCAGAGGGCTTCTTATGAGAAAATACAGCCAACAAAGTTCAGACACTGCTTTGACTTTGAAAGCCGCATAGCCAGACATTCAGACTGATGCCTTCCCATAATCAAAGGAGATGTCTTGGGCTGGGAAGGGACTGAGTATTCAAGTCTTTGCAGGGTGCAATTCCAAGAGATGGGGCAAGCTCCAGGAAGCAGCCGTGTCACCTGGCTCCACCGACTCCCACTCCTCACCCCAGCCTGAGGAGGGGTGCGGGGCCGCCTCCTAGTTCTCCCAAGTGCACCCAAGCTTTCTGACTCCTTGCCAAGGCCTCCTCTGAAAATGCTGCCGTCGCCTATTTCACATAAAGGAATTCCTGGGGTTGAGGAGCGGGCGGCAAGGAAGCAGGCGTTCAAACCCTGTGGGAGGCAGAATCACCATCAGGCCTCCCTGATGCAGCAGGTGGCACCGTGACCTGTCCCCACCGGCCCAGGTCACCCCGCCGCTCCGAGGCGCGCAGCCCCAGGGCGTGCCGGCCCGCGTGCGCCTACCGGTATCTCTGCTTCGCGGACTGCTTCTCCGCCGCTGTGCAGACGTGCCCGGCGTAGTACAGCGGAAAGAATAAAAAGTTCCAGTTGGTGGCGAACCATGTCAGAGTGAAGGGCGCGTCGAACCGCCGGAAGGTGAGCCTGGCGAGCTGCGTGGCGCCCGCCCAGGAGGCGCACACGCACAGCACCACCGCCACGCCCCAGCAGACCTTCTGGAGCTGCGCCCGCGAGCACCGCCGGCAGCCGCGGCTCGCTCTCCCGCCGGCCTCCGCCCCAACCGGCGCCGGGGCCTCCGCCGGGCCTGGAGAATCCCGGGAGCGGTCCTCCCCTGCGGAAGAGAAGCGTAGTTAGCCGGGGCTGGGGGCGGGCGAAGCACAGGCGCAGCTCCACGGCCAAGGTCCTGGCAAGCCGCCCTGGGTCGTAGCCGGGGGCACCAGGCCGTGGAGGCCGCTTTCCGAAATAAAACCTAAATGGAAGACGTTCCCCACGGGTTTTCTTACCCTCTAGAATCTTGACCCGCACTTTAGTGAGAAGGATGAGCTAGCAGCATCAGCGCCCCCTCCCAGTTTGTAGGAAAGGCAGAATCTTAGGCCCCACCCCAGGACCCCGGAATCAGAATCTGCATTTCAACAGGAATCTGTGCACATCAGCATTTGGAGAGCTGCAGGACACGCCAGCGGCTCAAGTACTGTCTTCAGTCAGCAGACTGACTACTAGTATTAGTCTTTATTCGTACTCTAGTACGCAGAGCAGTACTTTAGTTTGGGTCAGGGCACAGCTGCTGCGCCGTGAGTGCTGATCACAGGGGCTGGGATTCCTACCTGAGGAGGTCGTTGGCCTTGACCTCTAAAAGCTCTCTTATGTTGTGTGCATATGAAAAACAGACTTTCCCTCTTATCCCTTTATTTGCGCTGCCTTCCTGCTGATGTGATGGCCTTTGGTCCCACTTGGAAGTGTTACTTAAAAACCACAGCCTCTGGCAGCTGTGCTCTGAAAAGGCTCCACACTCCATTCTAGAGCCCTGTGATTCCTGAGGACCAGGCTGCAGCCCAAAGGGGGCTCTGCAGCAGTGCTTTCACCACACACCCTGAAAAGGTGGAAAGTGCATGATTTCCCACTGTCTGGTTTGCTTTCACGGTTGTGTGTATCAGTTAGCTGGAAATGTAAATAAGAGCTGTAACGTGCATAGGGTGTAACCATGGACCGATGCAATTTCCAGGAGATAGCGTACTTGGCTTTTATGTGATCAGCCTGGCACTTAGCTGAGTGCGCACACAGAGCAAAGAAGCCATCCTCCCCCACAGGGGTACAGGAGATAAGTACAAAATATATTGGGGTCAAATGTACTCTATATGTTGTGCTTAAACTTAACAGTAATTTAACTAGCTTTAACAACATGACAACTTTGAATAATGTTTATCCTACACAGTAATTCTATGAGGCAAAATCCTGATTCAAGGTAGCCTATTATACAGGTGTTCGCAAATTATATTATTAATTGCCAGCCCTGGTTCTGTTTTAGCCAAAGGTAATCCCAAGCCTTATGTGGCTAGTCAGGGAGACATAATGTCTTTTACTTGCCCAAACCCTGCTTGACACCATCTATATTGTGCTTCTGTGGGGAAAATGGAAGTTCCTATGGCCAGGATCCTCACCTGACCTTAAACTGCTTTATCATGTAATTGGCCTACTGCTAGGCTAATGCTTCCACACCTGTAGGCAATAAGCTGTTACTGACTGAGTCACTATATAAAGAGCTCTGTCCAGTGCTCTGGGTGGAGGCAGAGATGAAAGAGGATTACAGACCTGCAGACTGCTGGATGCAGATGTGATTCTAGTGCTGGACCTTACCACCAGGAGAAAAAAGCTGGGTATGAACCCTTTTACCCCAAGAACATTCCATTGTCATTTCTCAGTCTCACTGAATCCATAGTGAACTTGTCTGGGGCTGAAACCCTCGGGCAAGACAGTTTCATTACCTGTTTTATTAATGTTCAGTCTCCTTTTTCCTCTTACTTTTCACAGGTGTATATATCCTAGTTGGAAAGTCCTTGGAAAACCAAATACTTAACCACCATCTGTGCTCCCAACAACTTATCTGTTCCTCTCATGGCTGTAGGGCAGGGAAAAGCAAAGGAGGGCAAAATCCAGGCAGATTCCCATTCTTGTAAGTTATACTTTTCCATCAGGATGTCTTGATTTTGTTCTCAGTGAATCCCCGCCCACAAATTTGATTTCAGATGGAGGCACAAATTTTCCAATCTACACACTATGATTACCTGACATTTTGGGTTAGCCTTTGCCACATTTCATTATTGTGATAACCTTCAAATAGTGGTGGAGGTTAGAAAGATTTCTCAAGTGTCAGCATCCCTGTTAAAAACTCATGCTGAAAAATAATTATGGAGATGATAAAAAAAAAGCCCATGTAGAAGTGAAATGAAGTAACTTAAGAATGGACTCTGTAGGAGGCTGAATAAATTCAGGCTCACAGAATATATTTTCATTATGGCAAATAAAGTTTTAAAACTTAAAGAATTAAGTGATGACTGATGCTGCAGAACTGTTACAATGAAAGAGAAAAATGACCAAATCATGTATTGTTTAAATGCACCTATAGACTTGGATTAAAGACATTAGCCTCTGCCTTTATGACCCCTCTCAATCATTTAATCAGGGTAATATTAATAAAACAAGTCAAATAAAGACATTCAAAACTAAAATCTATACTATTATTTAAATATAAGATAGAACAATGTTTCCTAAAGTGTAATACAGTTAACAGGCATTATAAGAAAAGGAGATTCCATTATCAGAAAAGTTTGGAAAACGCTGGGTAGATCACAGCCAGGTTCTTTTGCTGTGGGAATATTCAGAACTAATAGACACTGTGAACTTCCAAAAAGCAGCTATGGAATGTGTGCTTCCCATATTATTCAAATTTAACCCTTGTGGTAGGACTGGTGTCCTTGGGAAACACTGGAATAGACCATACGTCACAGACATCCAAACCTAATTCATTGCAAACTTTGAATCTCACTGTACTGAGCCTCTGATGATAATTGCTTAATTACCTCAGCCATTCTTAATACTTTGGTTAAATTAGATCTACCGCACGTAAACTAAAAACATTCTTTACAAAGGCTTTAAATAGTACAGAATAGCATAAATAAAAAAGCAATCTATGCTAATCTTAGTACCCAGAGATACACTGTTGACATTCTGCTGTATTGTGTGCTGTCTTGTGTCTTTTGACACACACACACACACACACACACACACACACACACACGCATATAGCAAACTGGGATCATATTGTATTTTCATCTGGAATTCACGTAACCTAATGCACTTTATAAACAGAATGGACTTTATAAATTTCACAGGGCTACTTGCAGTGCTATACATATCCTGGGAGTATTTCAATTGGCTAGGAAATGGCGATGAAGCATCTGCCTTGTGCCAAAAGCTTTGGGTGGTCAATAAATAAATATAAAATATGATTGTGGTGTGTTTCAGGAACTTACAGTCTACCTGGAAGTGACAAAATGGGCCTTTGAAAGAATAATGTGCAAAATGGGGAGATTTTGACTGTAATGGAACATCTTAAAGAGTGTAACTGGCGTGGAAAAGAATCAGAAGAGGCAGAAGCTTGGCCTGGGCCTTGAAAAATGGAAAGGCTCTAAGTAACAAGAGGAACAAAGTTCAGGGTCAGGAATATACATGGTCTATACAAGGGTTGGTGAGGATGAAGGTGAGATCTAAAATCCACTTCTGCCTCGCCCCATTGCAATGCCCAATCTTGCTTTTGTCAGACAGGAAACAGGTCAGACATTCAGCCAGGTTGGCCAAAGAGACTGGAGAAAATTCAGATGCTAACCCTACTTTAGGAAGTATATGCCCCAATGCTCTAAACAAACAGATAAAATGAATAAAGAACAAATGTAGAGTGACATAATAAATTTGGTCAGCAGGTGCATTTATTCTCCACTATTTAAAATGCATCAAATGCATACCAATTTTCATGCCATTATCAGGGTCATTTTCAATGAGCTGTTCAATTTATGTTCAGATTTCAGAGAGAAGAAATTACAGTGAGGGGGCAGAAACACTTTTCAAAAGCTGTGCAAATCTCCAAGTGCAGGAAACTTTTGTTTACTTTCCCTTCCTTCCTGAATTGCAAATCAAGCGATTCCTCTGTATATGATTTCGCTCCTTTATTATAGCTGAAGGAGGCAGTGCAGACCACCTCAAAGAAATCAACACCAAATTAGGTTCATGCTGTTTCCTGTCCCAGCTCCTCTGACCATTATTACATGACTAGAAATACTATTTATGTCACCCTCACCCTCATTCTCCACACCACCTCCCTGTTCACAATCCCTCTATTTATGATCCTGTACCCTCCCTTCTAAACTTGCACTGTGGCCAACAGTTCTGGGAGCAATGCAAAGTAGATTATACAATGTGGCCCAGTAGTTGTGCTGACAGATACTCTTACTGTGGATCCAAGCATTTCCTTTTAGCTTGTGATGCCTCTAAATGTCTTGTTTATGCCACTTAATTGACTCAGAAGCACTGGGGTGAGCTCTTCCCTGTTCTTTTACCTGAGTTGCTTCCATTAAGCATTTTGGAGAAAGGTGCATGCAAAGGAGTATTTTCTTGATTATAGTGCATACTCCAAGGCATGGTGAGATGTAATCATATCTGTGCATGAACTTTCATCTTGAGCTCTGTCTCTCAGAGTCAGGCAATTTACTGGAACCGTATGTCAGTCCTACAACCTATAAAATCACACTGCATGCCTGTCTCCCTTCAGGCCATTTATAAGGCTTTCACACTCTTCAGGCAAGCAGCAGTAACTAGAGACAATGTCTGCTCAGAAGAAGGAAACTCTAGGTCCTAATGGGTGTGTTGGGGGTCTGGTTTAGCTGCCAATTCATTCTGGGACCAAAGCAAGTCCTTCTCATGAGCTGTCCACTGCTTTCCCCTGAGAAAATGACAAATTGGGTGTTTTTTTTTTTATTTAGTGGAAGTCATGCTGTAATGAGAAAGCTGGAAAATCATTCCCTCTCAAGTTAAAGTTCCCATAAATCGCTCTTGCAAACTCCCAAGAAAAGACAAATGTTTCCTTTTTGAGGTCATCTGAAAATAAATGGACCTCTGTTGACTCTATGAAAAAGTGTCTGGGAAGTTAGCACTTAAAGTGGCCAAGTCCTGTCTTAGGGGCAAAGAGCTGGTGATCAAAGACCACCTATTGGCTGGCATAGTCCCAGTCTCCTGAAAGCAAAGGGAAGATATCAATGCACAGAGAATGGGAAGGGAGAC